CCCCCGCAATTCTCATGTCTATTAGCAAGGAATACTCATTTCTGAGTACTCAGAGAACTGTTCTGGGCGCCCCCTGCTGGTTCCACAGGAGAACAGATCCAATAAAACCCCCACAGGATTTCATTAGAAACGTTCATGCAAGAGTGATATGTCAGAATCTGAAATGAGAACATTTGCATACAGTAGGCCCAGCCAGTAAGGGAATAGGTTAATTAGCTCAAGGCAGCTCTAGGGAAGAAAAAACAGCAGCATAAAAGTCCTTTCAGAGCCAAGTAAAATGTCAAACACATTCAGGAAGGGGCCCATTAGCAATGGAAATGTAAAATGTCAGTACAAGGAATGCACAACAAACCAAACTAGAAAACCCCTTGAAAAGTACTTTTAAGAACCTAGATTTCATAAATTGGGGAAAGAATGCTGACTTGATTCTCAGAAGCACAGGATTTTATTTATTTATTCATTTGAGAGGCTGGTTTCATGGGTCCTAAATGCTAACTGGGTGGACTTCTGCCAATGGACCATGAAGACATATCAGCTTTGACACACAAATTCAGATTTCTTCTTCTTAAACATTATCCATTAATAAACAGTATCTTTTCTAGAGACTGCCAGTGATAAGTCAAGGATATATTTAAAAAGAAGTTAGAGTGACCCAGGTTGAACTATATAAACCTCAACTCATCTCCTCCTAAATTTATTAATCTAAAGTGTTTTTCAAACAAAGATATAGGGTCTCACTGGTCTGGTCTGAAACTCCTGGGCTCAAGTGATCTTCCTGTCTCAGCCTCCCAAGTAGCTGGGACTACAAGTGTGCACCACCGCACCTGGCCTTCTCCTAAGTTTAGAACTGTTGGCAAGTGCAGCATTGAGGAGCAAGAGCTCTCTAATTCTAGGTTATGTGTCACTTCTCTGCGCACTCTGAGCTGTACTGTGTACATCTTCCATTGAATGGGAAACCTGAAGGTAGGAACTGGATCTTGCTGTATTTCCAACGAACCACCAGAGGGCGCCATAGTACACCAGCACAGCATTACTGTATTGGGATGAAAGAAGAGGTAATTTATGAATGTGAAAAAGTAGAGTAGTGGGGGAGGGGGGAGAGGGAGAGGAAAGAGAAAGAAAAAAGGAGAATGGGATGTTCACTTTAGGGTCTCTTTCTAGTTGCAGACAAAACGCCTCTGAGTCCTGAACTCTCAGGGGTCCTGGAGCTAATCTCTGAGTGCACCTGCCAACAACAGGAAGATTTCTTTGAAACATGGCCAGCGCTGTGGACGCTAAGTTACCAAACCACATGCGAATCACACTGCTTAAACACCATCAGAAAAGGGAAAGCAGAAGGGAAATTAATAGATGAACCAAGACCAATTTATTTAGAGCTTACTACCTATGGTTTGCCTGGCAATCAGTGTTCTGAATACATTCATCTCAAGCACTTGTGGATTTTTAAATGTAGCTTCTACATTTATATTTATTTCATTATCAGTATTTTTAAATTTAGCCCGGTGCTTTTTTTCATTATCAGTAAGTACTTTTTAAATTTAGCTCGGTGGTAATTTGCCTTGTTAGTTAAAGTCTTATCCTCAGATCAGCAACACCAGCATCCTGGAGCTCTTTAGAAAGGCAAAAATTATGGCCCCAACCAGGACCTGCACGTTAACAAGATTTCCAGGAGACTCAGAGGAACAGTAAAAAGAAACTCAAGAGTACATTTTCTACTTTTTTTTTTTTTTTTGATACTGAACTCAGGAGCACTTGACCACTGAGCCACATCCCCAGTCCTATTTTGTATTTTATTTAGAGACAGGGTCTCACTGAATTGCTTAGGGCCTCACTTTTGCTGAGGCTGGCTTTGAACTCTCGATCCTCCTGCTCCAGCTTTCCAAGCCACTGGGATGACAGGCATGCGCCATACATTTTCTAATTGAAAATTGTTAAGCAAATTAAACACGGCTGTCCCCTTTCCAATGGAGCAGGCACAGGTAGCCACACTAGGTGCCATGCGTACCCTGGGGCTGATGGAGCCTCCCAGGCTCTTGACCTTGGGATCATCAAACCCAACACAAGTCTACCTAATAACTGCCCCATTTCTCCTGGTTCCTTAAAAAACTAGAGAGACGTGTTTTTCAAAGACCATGATGCATTTTATGGACTCAATCAACTCCAGGAAGAAAAATTGAATTGTTTAACAAGGAAAGCCCCTACTTACATCTTTGCCATCATTCCAATTCAGATGTTTTCGCTTCTATCATGGATCCAGACGGAGAAGGGAAAGGAAAATGAGAAACTACTGTGCTACAGAAGTGAGGCCCTGTGCCCACTGACTCCCAGCCTGGTAAACAACTGCTCAGAAGAGAGGAACCCCTAGGATTTGATGCCGAAAGCCCCAACGAGGCACTCCAAGGCTGCGGGATCCACAGAGTGGTCCTGCCTACGAACACAACCCTGGGTTTCTCAGTGGAAGTGAACCCATGGCTGCTTGCAGGTCTGTCCCTGCACAATTAGGAGGAAAAGCAGATGCCCTCGTGCCTTCCTGATCTGGAAATCTGGACTCTGAAATGCTTCAAAGTCTGCAGCTTTCAGAGGGCTGTCAGGACGCCATCTGCAGAGAATTCCACCCCTGACCTCAGGTGACAGGTTGCAGTCAGAGTGCAGGTGCCACTAAAAATGTCATATAAAATGACCTTCAGGAGATGTGTGTAAGGTGTAGGTGAAATACATTTCATGTTTAGACGTGGGTATTTCATTATATGTGTGCAAACATTCCAAAAAAAAAAAAAAATCCAGAACCTGGAAAACTTTTGGTCCCAAGCATTTTGGGTAAGGGATACTTGTACTGGAAAATGTGTATGACCCTCGAGAGGCAGAACACCTGGACATGATGCCAG